GCTGGGGAATTCTGGGAGTTGAAGTCCACTCATCTTAAAGTGGCCAAGTTTGGACAACACTGGCCTAGGCTTTTGTTAGTCTTAAAAGGTGCTACCTGAATCTTTAAGACATTAAAGGGTAGATGTTAAAATGAAGTGTTTCTTAGTACAAACATAGCCAGGGTTCTGTAACTTGTGAAAAAGGGTGAAAGGGGTGGTAATATAGCAGACCAAACAAAGTGTAGGCTTTTTATGAATTTTGAACCAGGACAAATTTAAACAGGTGCAGTCTCCCATTGGCACTTCCTCGTAATAAATGTTAACACTGTGTTTGGAAAAAGTGGTTGTTTCTGTGATTTTTTTTTTTTTTTTTACTTCCCCAAATGAAAGTCTATGCTTTTGTGGTTTTGAACTATTTGAAATGTAAGTGGAAGTCTAAGGAACAATTCTGGTTAATGCAACCTCTTCAATCATAGCTACATTGGTTTGGGATAACAGTGAGACATATGAAGGCAATCACTTTGAAGAAGGCTGGAGTAAAGTATGTGAAATAGTCCTAAACATTGGTTACAAGATCTCCTTGATTTCCTACTTAAGAGTCCATCGTGGACGAACACTAGTTGATTAATCTGGACCATCCGTATTTTCATTGTCCTAAACTGTCTTCCTTTTTCCCAAGCATTAACGCCCAATTTGTAATTGCCTTTATCTGTCTGATAATTCACAGCCATATATGTAATGATAAGGATGTATTACGATGCTGCATAGCTCTGCTCTTGATTTCCCTGAAATATCTTGGGGAGTTTGTGAATTCTTTTAACAAACCAGCCCTTAAATTAAAGAGGCAAAGAATTTATTGAGCCAAGCTTGGTTGTTGATACCTCCGTATAGTTTTTTGGAACAATATGGAACTGGTTGGCACATAGCTATCTTCCAAGATACTGTTTTGAGGTTTATTTATTTATTTAATAGATTTATATGACTGCTGATCTCAAATATATGACTCTGGGTAGCTTACAATTTTAAAGTGATAAAAACATATCAAACAACATAAAACCCATAGCAGTCAGGAAATTATAAAACAACAATTAACATAACCAGAGATGGGCTCCATCACACACCCAGGACCCCAGGCTTGAGCAGAGAGCCAAGTCTTCAGGGTCTTGTGAAAGGCCAGCAGAAAGAGGACCATTCTGATCTCTGGGGGGATGATAATCCAGAGGGTGGGTGCCATGACAGAAAAGGCTGTCTTCCTGGGCCCCACCAGCCAACACTCCTTGGTGGATGGGACTCAGAGCGTGCCCCTCTTGCCTGACTGGATAGGAAAGACAATCCAGGGAGAGAGAGTCCCATAAGTAATCTGGCCCTAAACCATGTAGGGCTTTTAATGTGACTTCCAACACCTTAGGTTGCACCTGGAAGCATACTGGTAGCAAGTGCACCTCATGGAGCAGTGATGTCACATGTGCCAAAAAACAGGCACTGCTAACTGCCCACACTGCCACATTCTGCACCAGCTGCAGCTTCCAAATGCTCTTCACTGGCAGCCCCGTGTAGAGCACATTGAAGTAATCCAATGTAGAGGTCACTAGGACATGAGTGACCATGAGTAGGGCTGTCAATCCAGAAACAGGCACAACTGGCACACAACCTGAAGTATGCAAAGATCCTGCTAGCCATGGCTACCACTTGCTCCTTGAGCAAGAGCTGTGAGTCCAGGAGGACCCCAAGATTGTGCACGGTTCCCAGTCTAGCTTCCAGTCCCATGCTTCCCTGTGATCTCCCATCCAAGTACTACTCACTTCCAACCCCACTTACCTGTTTTTGAGATCAGCCAAGATCAGCTAGGTGCTTCTTTCTGTATCAGAGGCTTACAGGGATAGCTTAAATTGATGCAAGATTTGGACAGATGCATGATTTTTGCTTAAGAACATAAGAGTGATACTGAAGTTCTATCTTAGTTATCTTCTCTGATTTTTTCAAAAGTCATTCCCACTGCCCTTTTGGTCATAATTCCTATAATATATGCTGCCATTTCTACTGTGTAGTTTGTCTTGCTGAATATCCTTGTTCCTTGCCCAGTGCTACTCAATGATGATAGCAAAATGGCCCGACTTGAAAGGGCACTAGGCTTTCATATTGCTTTAATTATCTGCAGACCAGTGGTACTTTTTCCTTAGAGTTGGATTGTTTTAAACCCCACTGCTTAACATTTATCCTGCCAGTGATTAGTGGTTGTACTTCTGTGCAGCCAGTCTTCATTCCAGGGGAATAAAACCCCCAGAGATCCTGGAGATAGGAAATCCAAGGATGGGAATTGGCTCTCTTCTCTCCTTTGTGTTTCAGAGCAAGCCTATCACCCATCTTGCTCCAGGGCCACTGCTGTTACTAATTAAGATGTTGGTGTATGCAGGTTATGTTGAATTTCATAGTGGCTGACCCAAGCTCTCTGCTCTTGTTATGCATTTGAGCTCTACCTGAACAGTTTCGGCAATAGCTTTGATAATTTATCAGGAGTTCCCTTTGGACCTTGTGATTCAGTGGCTTCTGATAAAAGTATGGTCCGCTTTTATGGATAGTCACTTCCTGCCTGAAGAACACATTGCAGCCAGCCATTGCAATTCATTTGGGAGATACAGTACCATTCTAAGAATAGCAGGGGGATTTAACTTAAAATAAAAGGCATAATTCCAAGGATGCACTTTCCTTTTTTTGCTGGAAGTCATGTACAGAGCAATGCAACATAACATATATTAATTACCCTGACCTGTTATTACAATTCACAGGAAACATTTATGCATCCTTAGGCTAGGATAGCCTGCCCTGTTAATTTTCTTCATTTTAAGACAAATAAAGGCGAAAGCACGCATGAAGTTAAAGTGCTTGTTCTGTCCTTGAATTATTAGGGCCAATGTTGTTCTTCCTTTGGAATATCGGAATCTTTTGAAGCATACTATTGGTCACTGTGATTCAGTATCGCCTATTTGAATGGCACTGGATTTTGAAGAAAGCAGATATTGATTAGCTTTCCTGGCCTCTTAGCTCTGGGCCTGGCAGTGCCAGGTATGAATCCTGAGATCTGCCAAAATGCATGCACTATCCTATCACATGTACCATGTTTGTATGCATTCGAAATGGTTTGGGTGGAAAATATGTGTATCTTCCTATGAATCCTCCATAAGGGCTGAGCTGGTATCATCTCCCTGTGGCTACCAGTAAATTAGGTTAGAAAATCCAGGTCCCCTCCTGTAGATTTTATTCATTTACTTATTTAATTCATGTAGGTACCGACCAACTCCAACTGATTCTCAATATAATACACCACAAAAAACCTAATACAAACAGAACAAGATGGGATCCACTCTGCACAGCCATAAGCAAAAATAAAGACACATCCAACAAGGGGCCCAACCCACATCAACTCATGGCCTGGGAGAACAACCAGATCTTCAACACTTTACAGAATATCAACAGGGTGGGGCTACACAGATTTGGTGGTGGTGGTGGGGGGTATCTCATTCCAGATGGCAGGTGCCACCACAGAGAAGGCACACTTTCTGGATCCTGATAGATGACACTGTTTAATCAAAGGGACCTGGAGTGTGCCAGTTTGTTGGCACATACTGGCCAGGCAGAAACCATGGGGACAGGCAGACTCTCAAATAAACTGGCCCTATGCCATGTAAGGCTTTACAGTTAATAGCCTTGAATCACATCCGGAAGCATACTGGCAATCAGCGTAGCTTGTGGAGCAGAGGTGTCGTGAGCATCCTGAGACATGTCCATCACTGCCTGCATCACTGCATTATGGATCAGTTGAAGTTTCTGAATAGCTTGCCAGGGCAGCCCCATGTAGAGCACATTGCAGCAGACAAGCCTTGAGGTGAATAGGGCAGGAATGACTGTCTGAAGGATCTTCCAAACTAGGAGGAGGCACAAGTTTTTATCACCCCCCGCCAAAAATTGTGAAGAGCCTTCCCACTCCACTGGCACAGTCCTCTGTTGCTTCAAGCATCATTCCATCAGCACAGTAAAACTGTATCCTGCCCATAAAATTTTGGTCAATATCGGTTTGCTCCAGAACAATCAAAATCTTTTAGGATAAAATGTCTCAATCCGGGTACAGGCAACCTGTTGTTCCTGACTGAAAACTGCAGAATCTCTGACCAAGAACAAGATTATTTATATTTATGGGAGTTCTCGCCTACTTCACAGGACAGAAACAGACAGCCAGTGGACCTCCAAGTATTATTGAACTACAATTCTCAGCATTTTGACCATTGAATCCTGGATATGCTCAGTACACAACATGCACCATCGAGTTGTGATATGTGGGCAAGAATACGTTTACTTTGTGTGTGTGGCAAAGTTTTCATTGAAAGAGTGCAAGAGGTAATAACAAAATTTGAAAAGTGCAGTGTGGCTGTGTGCTGGGTACGGGGGCTGTGGATCAGATTTGTTCTGTGGATCAAATTTGTGCTGAGAAGTGTGTGAACATGAGAAAGTAAGTGTTGTATATTTTTTGGTTTAAAGAGAACTGATGATAAAGTGAACAGGTATGGAATCTTTAATGCTTTGTGTAACTATGGAGTTGAAGTTTTACTGTGGATTGCTGTAACAGCGGTATGTGATAGAAATAAAGCAGCGTGCGGGCTACCAAATACAATGGAATGGTTAGTGAATAATTCAAAATTGGTCAGGTAGTTAGAAAAGGAAGTGTGATGTCCTATTGATTGTTTGGTGAACGTATGGAAAATGTAATATTTGTGGTGATGTTAGAGATAGGTTTGCTGGGACATGAATGTATGTGTATGCAGATATTACCATGTTGGTTGAAAATGCAATTGTTAGACTGTATGATGCAATGAGGAATATAGATCTGAAAAATAATGTATCAGAATTAAAAAAAGTTTTGCAGAGCTCTCTGGTTATTTGAAGCTTGGTTTTGATGCTTGTAGCAGGTGGACTTTTGCTCTATTAAGGCTTACTTTTTTTAAAAAAACCCTGCCCAATACTGTAAGATGATCCTAGATGAAGGCCAACGGTATGGTTTCATCTTGCCTCTCCATTCTTCAGAAATAACCTCCATTATGGGGGAGCCCAATCACCTCTACGCTAAGGTTAGTCTTCCTCCTCCCAGGTAATGTTACTTGCTGACAGACTTTCCAATAAATATTCACACAGATACTTAGCACAGCCTACTCATCAGGATTAAGGTGTAATCTTACCTTCTAAGGCATACTTTGGTCTTCCTAGGAAAGCCAGGATTGTTTGAAGTAGCACCACCTGTTTTACTCTGTCATTTCTCACGCCATCCCTGCTGCCCACAAACATCAACATCTTACCTCCTGCTTTAAATCTTGCCTCTCTTTAAATTGCAAATGTTAATGCAACTGATAGAAGATTTCTTTGGTTCTGGGAACCACCCAAATTCAGCTTCTGAGGCAGCTTAAGCCTGACAGAAGAAGCTTCAGCCATAGGCCCTCTCAGTAAGATAAAGGATGCAACTCCGTGTCTCATTAGTTATGTAATGTTCAGCTCTCCCTTTTGTTTTCTCCAGAGAAGAGAGTGCAGGACCTAGTTCTACTGTGCATAGGATAAAAATTATGTATCCAGCTATACATTCCCAGTTTCCCATTGAAAAAGGGAAGAAAAGGCAGAAAATATTGGAAAACTGGGAGATTGAGCTATACTTCCAAAGATTGCCCACCAAAGATGAGCCTTTCCCTCTCCAGGTTGTCCAATCTACCTCAGGGTCTCACAGTGATACAATGAAAACCTGAACAATTAATTTTGCTTAATTTGTAATCTCAGCTAAGGCAGCCTGTGACTGCAATCTTAGTCAGCTTTTAATGTTCCTCAGGAATACAGATAACCCCATTATGCAAAGCCAGACATTCGGTACATAAGTGTGTCTAGGTTTTCTTATATAGTACATATTTTATCCTTCTGTAGCTTACTGGGTGCAGGGGAGGCTCACATGTGTCTCTTGGCTAGATTCATATGTGGTGCCAAACCATCATGGGGTTGGTTTTGTCAGAATGTGATGTGTGAATCTACCCACAGTAAGTCGGACACAGTTTATGGATAAGCACCAAATGTGGACTCAGCCAGTCATTGTTTGCTCAACAAATGATGGTTAAACAAACGATAACGTATTTGCTGGATCATAGTCTTAAACTTATAGCTTCAAAGTGGTCTTTGTTTCCGCTGGATAAATTGCTCGGTATGCTGCTTATCTACATCAATTTCTGTCATTCTAATAACAGGTTTTATCTTCCCTCTCTAAATTCTGCTGTACTTCCTTGCTCCATCAGATGCAAAATGCCAGATCAGTTACAAGGACCTGTGTCTTGCTGTATGGATGTACTATTATATCCTAACCCAAAAGGGCAAAAAGTGAATTATGTCTGACTTTTCTCCATTCTGTGTGGTAGGAATCGCAACCGAATCCATGGCATTGAAGCTAGCCAGCTGGAGACCTATGTTTCCCTGGAAACGTTAGACCTCAGCTCAAATAACATCACAGAAATCCGAAGTGGCTGTTTCCCAGTGGGGCTTCACATCAAGGATCTGTAAGCTTGCTTTCTTTTAAAATGTTTTATGGAAAAGCATTCATTTATACAAGAAGAACGGACTTTCAGACTACTTTGATCTTTTAAAGAAGTGTTACAGATTATTACAGGGGTTAATACTGCTCATCCCTGTCTCTCGTGTGTATCCAGTTAGTTATTTGCGTGGTCATGTTATGTTACGGAAAGAAGGGGACAAATACTTCGTTTTTGCCCTCTCTCATCCTCTTCTGCCTCTTCGTATTGGGCAGATATGGAAACTTGAGTTTTTCTATCCTTCATCTTTTTCTCATGGCCTCTTGCAGTAGCTAATATGAGAGGTTCGGTGATGTGAGGAATGAAAGTGCAAGGAACAAAGAGTTCAACATTCTCTTATATGCACCTACCACAAATAACTAATAGAAAGACAAAAATGTTCCATCAGGTTTTTAAATTAAAATGTTTTTCTGATTTTTCCCCAACTACCTTGAATTAATATTAAAATGCTCATGTTGCAACATTTCCTAATGTTATGTATGCCCATTTTGATGAACACATTTTTTTTTTTAAATGGATAGTTGTGTTCTCTGATTTCTGATGCAACACCATGTCAGAATTGAAATCCATTAAAGCAGTAGAGAGTATACAGTGGAACTGTCTTTCATTATGGAGATCATATATTCAAAATTGTTTGAGACAAAAGATGGGGGCCAAAATCCATACCAGTAAAAAGGAACAGCTTTGCAATTTTTTTTTTTTTAAAAATCCCCTCAACAATTATTTTCAACATTTACAATAGTTTAGTGATAATATATGAAAATGAATATTAGGAACCATGTACAATTTATTTATCAAAGGGCAAAACTGTGTATCACAGAGGTGGACTCAAGGAAATCAGTGCAGGGTAGTGTTGGAGTTGGATTGGACTAGGAAGACCTTCACGTGGGAAACTTTCCAGGGGATACTGGGTCGGGCCCACATTTTTCAGCTAACTAATCTCAGAGTATCATTGTGGCTAGAAGGAAGAAATATGGGTACATTACTAAGCTATTTGGCAGAAAGGTGAGATGGATGGATGGATAGATAATGTATATACTTGCAGATAAGCCAAGAATTTTAGATTCCAAAATACACCCAAAAATTGGGCTTGGCTTATCTGCAGATGGGCTTATCTGCCAGTATATACCGCAATATTTTTTTAAAGGACACATACATACTCCAGGATAAGTCCATCCTCAGATAAGGTGACCCTCAAATTTTTAACCAAAATACCATGAAAAATGTGCCACCCACAGATAAGCCAATAGTGAAAATTAACACAAAAGAAAATTTTGAGGGTCGAGAGATGGATAGATGGGTGGGTACGTGGGTGGGTGGGTACGTGGGTGGATGGGTGGATGGATGATCAGTGGATCACTGCATTAATTGCAATAGATTGGCAAGTCTGTTATTAAGAATTGTTTAACATTAGTCATCACTAAACAACTGATTTATTTTTGTCCCAACTCTCTTATTTTAAGAGTGTTGTCTTTATATACCTTGTGGCTAGCAGTGTGCCATTGGCTCTTCCTCTTGAACCATTATTTTACATCATTGGTGCTCATCACACTTCACCCATTACTCTGCATTCAGGTCTGTTTGATAGATTTTGGGATTCTGGTTAGAAAGACAAAGAATCTCTATCTCACCAGAACTGTTCTTCTTTCCACATCCCTGTGAATTAAGAAGCTGTCATTCCCATTTTAAGGATGGCTAGTGTAATTGAAAATAGTTTCTTCAGAAGACAATGTTCAATCCACATAGAATACAGTCCTACTTTCAGTGTGCTTCGTTATACTTACTGGTGTACAATGTGTGTTTGTTCTGTTTTTGGCTTGGCTTTGATTCCTGTCTGGGCAACCTTTCTCGTCTGGATGCCCTTCTGGACTACTGCTCCAGAATTCAAAGCAAGAAAAACGGTAGGCAATTCTGGAATTTGTAGTTCAGCAAAAGGCATTGAAGTGGGAAAGGCTGCTCTGGCAGACGAAAGGTGCTGCAGTGTCAGGGGAATCTTTTGATCATTACCTATCTAAATTGTGTGAATTGGCTTGATTGTTGTTTGAGTGGGGAGACACTTCGTTTCTGAAAACAGCTTGTCTGATGTCACCACCTGCTCAGATCAAGAGGGACTAATCAAGACCTCCAACACTACCATTTGAATGTTCTGTTATAAATTATTGCAGCTACCTGGGGAGCAACAGAATCAGCATCCTGGAGACCAAGGCTTTTAACAGCTTGTCACGATCCCTGCTGACGCTTCGCCTGAGTAAAAACAGAATTGTCCAACTTCCTGTTAAAGCATTCAAACTGCCCCACCTAACACAACTGTGAGTAGAAATGTGCAGTTTAATTGTGGCTAGCCAAGCTTTAGCTCCCTAAGGACATCCTCACAAACAGAATCCTTCAGCCTGCATATATGAAATGTTGAATAAAGCATATTTTAGTGGCCTTTTGTGACATTAAATGAACTAAATCAGAAATTGGATGTGGCTCCACACAGGATTGACTTTGTAGCTCACATTCTGAATAGGACAAAAAGAAAGGAAGAAAGAACTGGAGTATTCATTAACTAGAATACACATGATAGACTTTATTCCTTATGCCAGCCAGTGCATATGCATATTAAAAAAAAAAGTCGCTGGCTCTCTTTTTTTGGGTTTTACTTTTATTTTGCAGGAAGGCAATGAAAGAAAAGCAGGACAGAGGACTTTCTTGAATGCTGTTTTCAAGACCACGAATGTGGTATTCAAACTGCAAGGAGGGAAGAATGTGTAGTTGACATTTAGATAGACAAAAAGGTGCTTTTGATGGTTAGCACACATGTTGTTGTTTGTTTGGCTAAGGTACAGCGTGGGCTGTGTTTGATCTGCATCTGTGAAGGCGGTTTATGTGCATATAATTGACCTTTGGCATCAACTTTTGCTTGCTACTTTCTTGAAGTTTGGAACCTAATTCAAAGGCTAGATTCAGCCCCAGTTAGTGTAAGATTTCAAATTATAATATAAAAAATGAGGAAGGTAGTTTAAATGAAATGAAACAAGGAAGCATATTAGATTTCCCCTTAATTTTAAAATCAAATCAATAGAATTTTGATCCTTTTGGCTCCTATGGTGAATCTAATTTTCTTTTATTCTTACCTGTTTTTTCTAATCAGCAAGTCACCTGTTCAGATGACTTGCATGTTCATCTTTTCCTGTGATCAAAAATTCTAATTTATGTTATTGCTAATATTGAATTACAAGGCAGAGGTGGAAAACCTGTGGTCCTCCAGATATTTTTAGATTACAGTTCCAAACATCTCTAGCCACTGGACTTCTCAGCTAAGGTTTTGGGAAGTAGAAAACCAGCCTTGTGTCCCATCCCTGTACAGAGGAGTGCTCCAAAGTACATATAGGACATTAGCCGTTTTCATCTGAAAATAATTTAAAAATATGTTTTAGAGTATTGGAAGATCAAAACCTGAGCAAATAACTATGGACTATATAGACCATTCATTGTCACAGGCAAACCATTTTTATTCTAGTCAACCTGAATTAAATTAGATTGAATTCCTTCTACATGTATACAAAGAATTTAATAAATAGCAAGATTTTGAACCAAAGCATTTTCTAAAAGAAATAAATGTTAATAGTGTATGATTAAGTGTATATTGGGAAGAAATACTCATAATATAGACTGCCTTCTGTTTGTGGTAAAAAAACCCTTATGGCTGAAAATGTTTATATTTTTACAAGGTTACTAAAGAAATCCCACTGAATTCTAAAGCATTTGATTTTTACAAACAGGATAAAACACGATGGCAGTTAAATTACTTTAAGCAAAGCCTTTGGCAAAATGTATATATTTTGGCAGAAAGCAGGTCTAATGCAAGGGGTTGCCGTTCTGTTTTCCATTTGCCTGGCTGTTGGCTTTTGAAGATGAGTGCGTTGAGAAAGACTGAGTTAACATCCTTCTGCACTGTTGGTCATTTTCAGAGAGTTGAACCGGAATCGTATCCGTTTGATAGAAGGCTTAACATTTCAAGGACTGGACAGTTTGGAAGTTTTGAAGCTGCAGCGCAACAATATAAGCAAGTTGACTGATGGCGCTTTCTGGGGTCTGGCCAAAATGGAGGTTCTGTAAGTTAAACAGCAGTTATGCTGATAGATTTCAAGGAATATCTATTTATTTCTTTTGACATGTCCTATGGATGCCAGGAAAATCACCCTCCCACATCATAGCATGAGTGCAGGTATGCGGTTTTTGGTGCCTGAAATTTCTGCTTTTTGGCAATCCTTTTGAACAAAGCGGGGCTGCTTCTGTTTGACCGTGTATAGATTTTTGCTGTTAGTTTAGAACAAAGGTGCACAGTTTAAGGCCCAAGGCCGTATCTGTACTCTCCCCAAAGCACGGTTGCGACCCTCAAGTCTTTCCAAGGGCTGCTTCTGAATTGTTGTTCTTATTGTGAAGGAAGAGGAAATTATTAAGTATGTGAGCAACAATCGTATTAACTATATTTAGTTAATTTTAATTCATGTAAATCAAGGTTATGTTGTCTCCTGGCCCTGAATACTTTTGCTAGTGCAGACCTAAGCTGAAAAAAGATTATATACCCTTTGTTTAGGTGTTTGATTCAGTAACAGGGCCTACGAAGGGGGCAACACCAAGTGAACTCTGGGTGAATGAGTAGGTGGCATACAAATAGGGAGGGGGAGAGGGGTCAATATGTGCAGAAAATCCTTGGACTATAGACTACGCTGGGAAGCTGAAAGAAACATACCAGAAGCAGGCACCAGCAAAGCGCTTCTTTATCACTGCCAAAAGAACTATATGAGCATTTCCATGTAGTCAACAGGAGTCAAGTTTGACTTGGAGGTGTCTTTCCTTTTATCAGTAACAGAATGTTGGGGTATTGTGGTCCTACTGGAACACTATGCAAGGAATTTTATGTCAGCTATAATCCCAGAAATTGGCTGGGATGGACAAGTTATTGATGCAGCAGATACATCTCTAGGTATGTGTTTGCCTTAGAAAATTAGTACTTATTCATTTAACATATTCTCAATACAGTTAGTCCTCGCTTAACGACTGCCGTGTTTAGCGACTGTTCGAAGTTATGATGGCACTAAAAAGTAACTTTATGACCGGTCCTCACACTTACGAGCATTCCAGTGTCCCTGGGGTCATGTGATTGGGATTCAGTCACTTCGCAGCTGGCGGGCATTCATGACCATCACAATGTCCTGCAGTCACATGATCACAATTTGTGCACTTCACAGCTGGCTTCCAACAAGCAGAGCCAATGGAGAAGCCAGCAGTAAAATTACAAGTCACAGTTGCTTGATGCCTCGCTTAACTACTGCAGGTGATTCGCTTAACAACCATGGCAGAAGTGAGGACATAAGTCCATCGCAGTCATGTGATCTCTTGCTCAATGACCTCATCATTTAGCAACAGAATTGCTGGTCCCAATTGTGGTTGTGAAGTGAGGACTACCTGTAACTCATTTAAAACACACACACACACACACACATACACACACACCATTTTTGGTAGATAAACCTTGTAAAGTGTTTGTGTTTTAAGGTACTGAGTTTTTAATACTTTCTGCTGTTATTCTAAACTATGCACTCCATTACTGTACGGTTCTTGTTTTGTTTTCAAAATGTGAGCAATTTTTTAAAAAAGAAACCTACATGAAAATTAATTTCTCTAGTACAGTGAAAGGTCAACTGAGATTTCATTATCTGGGTAGAGCAGTCAATGGGGCAAAATAAGATGTGGCCCCATCTCCCCAGAACTACTGAAACAAAAGCAAGACAACAAAAACGAAGTGCCTTGCCCTGTTAAACCAGAGCAAGATCTAATCCCTCACAGGGCAAATGTTCTTTCTGGCTTTGAATTCCTGCAGTTGTGATTATTGGACCAAATACCTTTTATTGGTAGTTATATTCATACATTTTTCAGTATGGCATCTTGAGCTAATCTGAGGACATAACCTGTAACAGCATAGAAAATTGATATGAGACTTCTGTTCTGAGATGAACACTAAGAAGTCAATTGCTGAATCAAGGAAAAATCAAAGAAGCATGTCATTTTGGCTGGCTTTTTTTCCCTTAAATATGATGAAGGAATGATAGATTTGGGGAGTTTTGCCTGAGAAATATTGTAGTGAAACATCAATGTCAGATATAAGTTTGTGTGTAATTGAAAATGTTCAACTTGGTCTTTCTTGTAGGCATCTGGAGCACAATGTCCTCACAGAAGTGAACAGTGGTTCTCTATATGGCCTGGGTTCCCTTCAACAATTTCATTTGAATAACAACCTGATATCCAGTATCAGTCCCATTGGATGGAGCTTCTGCCAAAAGCTGAATGAATTGTGAGTTAGCTAATTTGGGAGGCAACAATTGACAATAAAATAGATACTATGGCAATGCAGTATGTATAGGTGCTGCTTTAAGGGGAAAAGGTTTTCAGAAGGTTCAGTGGTTGTAGAATGCAACTATTTCCTCTCTTTTAAATGCTGATTTTTAATTTAAAAAATGTGGGACTAGCATATATTAAGGAGTTCTTTCTCCCATAATAATTAACAGTGCTAAAGTTATTGGCTGTATCTTTTCTTCAAATACCACTTCTATCAAAGAGGTTTGTTTTAGTTAGATAAAGTGTTTTCAACAGTGGGCATCCATATATTAGTTCCCTCTCTAGCAAGATCTGTCTATCCCCAACTTAGAAAAGCCTTTTATCAACCCAGATAGGTATGAAACAATTACCTTTTTTTTTGTTATTTCATTTATTTTAATTTCTGCAAGTCTCTTTAAAACATGGGATAAAAGATGGAGTGAGTGTGTGCATGCATGCACATGTCTATACATTTGTACATACATATTTGTTTTAAAGAAATGTCTGTGACTCTATGGAGAGCATTAACTGATGCCCTAGAATACTTTGAAATATTTCTTTAACCTAAGAGTATGGCACCTTGTTTGCTACTCTTGTTAATGCCTACTTTAGTTTTACTCAAATATGCAGGTAAGGAATGTTATGAAAACATGTTTTTTAAGGATACACATTCATTCATTGATAAGGGACACAGGTGTTGTGGATCTGTCCAGAAAACAAAGGGCTTCACAAATCCCTAAGGGGAATATTTTTCCTTCCAATTCTGGAACGAAAATGTGCTTTTTGATCAGTCTTCGTGTTTCCATACTCAGGCTGCAGAAAAAGGTGAGATAGCAGAAGTACTAAAGGTGAGCAAGTATATGCATCTTTCTAGCTGGCTGCAGATGCATATTATGAAAATTTATTCTGAAATTTGCTAACTCTAGATGACGTCAGAAAAGAAACATGCTTCTACAGTTTTGAAAAAAACCTTCTGCCAACTGTAAGAGAGACTTTTTTAAAACAGTTGTGTCTAGCACAATCTGCTAGCTTTGGATTTCTTCTATGTAACTCCCTCCACTCCCCCTTTGAAAAATTCTTTCATCACAGGTGAGGAAATAAATTTGACTGGTTGCCATGTCTTCATAATTTGACACCACAGTCTCCTTAGGAATTAATGTATGCTGTCCTTTGCCTTCTTAAAAGCTCTTCTGAAGGCCTTCCCCTGTTCTTAGCTACACCACTACTATCTCTGTTTGCGTTTGCAAAAGTATCACCGCTTGTTTGCCAAGAAAATAACACCCTTTATACTTAGAAATGTGTCTATCCTGACTTAGGTTTAGGCAGAGGTCATTAACTTTTATACACTTCATCATGGCAGTATTGTTACAAGACAAATCTGCAAGAGAAGTAGGAAGAATGGGGCAAAAGTGTCAACAATTTGTTCTGTTCAGGTGTGATAATATTACCACTGGGGTATGTGTAAAAATGCTGCCATTTTAGATTGGCTTATTTGAGGAGAAGTTGCTCACAGGCTCTCAAAATGCAACTCAGGCCTCTGCTGAAGCCATAGGCACATATTCCATGAGCCTCCCAAAGCCTCCTACGTTTGTATTCACAGCCTTCAGCATCCCTGAATTACACAGAGTCCAAATTTTCATCCTGCCTTTTATTTCCTGGGGATGGGGGAGTTGGAGGACTTTTAAGAGGGGAAATGGGAAACAAATCAGTCCTTATTGTAGTTAGGATTAGGGAGTTTTGAGCCTCTGTAAGATGCAAGGCACATTTTGCACCTTAAGGATTCCCCCAAAATAGACCCTGGTCACTGTGGTGAAACCATGGCTTCATTGGCCCTATCACGTGCAGTCCTCAAGGCTATAAACATTTTTTATGTGCATTTCCTGGAAGGAAAGCGGTTGACCCCTCTCCCCCCTCTCCCCTAATTTCAGACAAGTTTTTTTTTTTCTGAAGACAGTTCAGATACAGTGGGGAACTCTGGGTCCTGGGTGTAGAAATCAGCTTGTACAGTGATTTCTTTGTCTTAGATATTTTCTTTCTTTGTCTTAGATATTTTCCCTCTTTTCCTGTTTGATGGCTGCAAGAAAAAAAATAGAAAACAATCTATTCATGATTTTGAACAAGCCACAGTTTCCTGTTGTGTCTAAATTAGGGGCACTATTTTTTTTTTTAATTAGCAAGCAGTCCAAAATCTGAGAACTGATTTGGGCTTGTTCTCACTAGTTGTATTTGAAATGAGGCTTCCCCAACCTGAATTTCTGTCAGCCCCAAGATGTAGATCAGACCCAAGAAATCAACTCCATGTTAAGATTAAAACTACTTTTATTAAGATCGGCAATAGCAACAGAACCTTACAAGTCTAAGTATACTTTATCTCTTCCCTTTCTTATACTCATGTGAATTAGGGGGATTGTCTGTCTAAGTTGTTTCCACCTACCTTCTTCACTGTTTGGGCTTAAGGAATGTTTCCCTCCTCTTTGCTTTGGTAATGGATCTCCCCTTTCTCCATCAAGGCCATCCTCTTTTCTCTCTACAACTTCCCTGTAATCTCCAGTTAATATGGCCATTGGGCATGCCTGTTGATGAAGATGGGGAGTGTAGCCCAACACATCTGGAAGATGTCAGGTTAGGGAAGACTGGTTTAAAGAAACAGAGTTCTTTGGGTTCTGGACAGAACAGAGAATTGTTGTTTGTTTAAAAATGCTATCCCGGTGCATGAAACGAGAGTATGAAAAGGAGACAGCATGCGGCTACAGAGCTGACATAACAAATTCAATTAGTGGGAAACCATAGTTTCCTGTTATTTCGGAGCTGACTATTTATTGTTACTGAGATCAGATGACAGAATGCCAGCCACTGCTTTGCAGTTCTTCCAGTTCTGTGCCCTGCCTGAGTTCCATGGTCACACTATATTGGTTAGCTCTGAATCTGGGTTTTGGGGTATACTTTTGCACAGAAACCTAACTTATGTCTGTTTCTTTGGTTTGAAGACATTTGGATAATTCTTTCCATGATTTAGGGAGGATCACTGTAATTCAGTCAAGGCGTCTGAAATTAGCTTGAAGATGACTGTAACTCTGAAAGCAAATAAATTTTGACCTTGCCAGTGACTGGTGGATGGAATAGTTTGGCTTAATTCTATGGGTCAAGTTCTGAGAACTTGAAGGAACTGTTGGGATGAATGCAGATATAGCAGTTAAGTAAATTATCTTCTGACTTTATTTCACCCATACTTTATTTCACCCATACTTTACCTTATTTGGATACCGTTGACCCTCTTTCCATAGGAAAGTCATTTATGATATTCATGAACTAAATAATTATTTTCAGGACAAAGGAACTATCAAGTAGAGTCATTATAAAGAAGCGGGGGAAAAGCTTCAGACTGAAATTTTGCTCTTTTTTCCTCAGGTCCTTGTCATTTAACAACTTAACCAGGCTGGATGAAGGGAGTTTGGCAGATCTGGGAGGCCTGCAGATCCTGCAGCTGAGTCACAATTCCATCAGTCACATTGCAGAGGGAGCATTCAAGGGGCTCAGAAGCTTACGTGTTCTGTATGAGCTTTATATTTTTCTTTTTGCTTGTCAGGTTAACTCTTGAGAGTAAAAAAAGGGACAGCTCTTGATATTTGCTTCTGCCCTCTCTTAATTATATAATATGTACCCCAACCTTACCCTGTATTGATGAACTGAACTACAGTAATAATTGGTACTGAGGGGACATCAGCTGAGGATGGCTCTCCCTCCATTTCACAGCTTCTGGGCAACTTCCAGTTTAGCAAATACTGCCTCCACCCCTTAGCACATTCAAGGAAACATTCTGGCCCTGTACCTAATGGCACTTTTCTTCCTTAGTTGAGTCCTGGCTTTTACTGTCTTGCTATTATGTCTGCACAATTGTTGATGCCTCTGGCTTTGTGAAATCCTTAGCTGAAATCCAGAATAATTGTATAGGATCCTTGTTTTGCTTTGTTTTGTTTTAAATGATGTGCTTAAACCAAGTGAACAGTGCTCTATACTACTTATTTAAAATTCTTTTCTCCTGAGCTCTTTTGAAGTTGGAATTTAATGGAAAGGAAACACAGACTTTCCCCCCTTGGTTACTGCGCTGTGCAGTTATTTATTCCTTTTATTGAAGTGAGGACGCGCTTTATGTTTCTTTGCCTTTCCCAGACCCACTTTTCAATCCCATGCCTGTTTTCAGAAAGGGCTCGCTCCTAGGCAGCTGGCACAGAAAAGGACGAAAGACTTTCCCAAACTGAAAAGAGTGTTTGGATTGCAGCTAATTCGTGGTCTTCTTTTGTGTCCAGTGCCCAGGGAGGAAGGGAGGGTGGGAGAGCAAGTTCTAATTGAATCAAGAGGAAGGCCCATTGGGTCCTGCACCTGGTGAAAGAGAGCTGGGCATGCTTTAATTACGGTCTATTGTTGACAGGCCTTTGGTGGGTGTGAAACTGCTGAAATGAGAAGCTATTCAAATAGAGGTCAGTCCCAGAGACCTCACAGCAGAATGATTAACAAGGCAGTATGCTTTCAGGGCCAGCCAGCCAGAAAGAATAGGAAATTGGCAACAGCGGCTGTGAGAAAAGCAAAGTGAATGCAAAGAAAACTGAACTAGAATACTAGATCTCTATACATTGGATTTTTTTTTTTTTTTTGGTGAGAAAGTATGTTTCTCACAAAAGGAAGTTCAGGCTCTTTTGGAAGAATCAGAAGAGCAGTAAGCTCTGTCTCTCTGTCTGTCTCTTTCTTTTTCTCTTTTTATAGAAAATGTGATGTGAACATCAATTAACTTTAAAAAAAGTGTGCTGCAGAAATCTTAACCCTGCACCAAATTCCCGAAATGTCCTTCAGTTTATCTCACATATGGCATGACTAGAGTGTGCCATTTCCTAATCCTTCAAAGATAGATTTGCAAAAAGAGAAAAGGAGGGAAACAAAGGACTACTCTGGAGTAAAGACCAAATGACTCAGTATAAAACATAATTGTAGAAATGCCATTATTAATTCTTGCTTCTCAACCTCTGGACTTCAAAGTGCTTTGCCATCTATCTCTGCATCACATTTTTCTCCCCTGACTGCTTTATTGCCATTATACCCAAGGCCCACTCTTTTGACTTCAGCAGGGGTGGGGTGGGGCTTTCTGCAGCCACTTTCATGCCACCCAACCCAGCCACACCCTAAAGCCTGGGAGCTCCCTGCCCCTGGCTCAATCCCAGCAAAAACATAATGACTATATTGGTAATTATTTGAACATTCTCGTCCTGATTTCTATTTATTGATTTTATTGGGTTTGTTAAGGCCACCCAACTCCAAGAGGACTCTGGGCAGCATACAATAAGTTTTTTTTTCTTCGTTGCACTTTCGGTGCATCAGAAGACGTAAAGCCCTAACTCACTTGAAAGGAGTCAGGTAGCAGAAGCATCACTTGGGAAAGCTTTCTTTGAAAGAAAAGAATACGGAAGAAGCCAGGTCTAGTCAACTAAAGTAAATTACTGCTGTTTTTTCCACAAGTGCTAGGGACTTCTGATGAAAGCTTTATGCTCTAGGAACAAAAGGGAATGTCTTTGGGGGGAGGTTTCCTAAAGTTTAGCCTGCACCTCTTTGAATGCTGGGCTTACAAACTAGGAAATTGATTGTGAGCTTTCTTTTGTCATCTTCTCCCTAGGAATCTGGATCATAACGAGATTTCGGGAACAATAGAAGACACCAGTGGAGCATTTACAGGCCTGGAGAACCTAAGCATGCTGTGAGTATCGGATAAGTTTTTCTTCTAGAAAACAAAACTTGTTTTTCCAAATAATGTGGTATATCTGTGTAGTGTGGTATGTCTGTGTGTATATTACGACTGGGATGGGAGAAGATAGGGCATCTGTTGAGCTCATGACATGTGTAGGGCAAATATTTTTATTAACAGCACATGCCTTAGAAGCTCACTCAGCAATAGTTCAAGCTCTGAGTATCCATTTTTTCTTGGTTTATAGATCTAAAGAGTTTTGTTGTTATGAATAAAAGAATGTCACCTTATTTTATGAACCTCAAACTATAAATTTGTTTGTGAAGCCAGTTTTACTTTGTACTCTTGACACATTGCTTAGTACCTGATACTTTGCATCTTCCAGTGAAAGTGAGATATACATTTTATTTTCGTTACACTGTGTTCAGACAGTGATCTTTTAACCAGAAAATGCAGTCAGCTTTTGTTCTAGTGGAGGCTATATTGCTGTTACAGGTAGTCCTTGACCTATGACCATTCTGTCAATGACCGTTCCAACTTATGATGGCACTGGACAAACAGTGGTTATGACTGGCCCTTGGAATTCTGGCTATCCCAGCACCCCTACAGTCAGTCACACGGTCGCAATCTGGGTGCTTGGCAATCTGTTCACACTTACAGCCGGTTGCCAAGTGCCCCGTGATCACCGTTTGCAACCTTCCCTGCCAGCTTCCCCAGAAAGTCAATGGGGAAGCTGTCAGGGAAGGTAGCAAGATGCTGGGGTAAGTCTCCCCCGCCTGTGAACCCTTCTCCAGCTGTTCTGTCCTCATGCTGGGCTGGCCACTTGCACACCCCTATGCACCCGCATCATGCCCCCACGCACACCGCCTGTGCTGTGCCCCCTCCCTGACCCATGCGGCGCCTGTCACATCCTGCCTAACCCATGTGGCGCCTTCTACACATCCCCTTCCACTCTTTGCACTCTTGTGCATCCTCCCCAACCCACGCTGTGCCTCTTGCACACCATGCACCCTCCTCACGCCACACTTCTTGCACACACCCTTGCATCCTCACATATCCTCCCTGACCCTCCCCAATCCATGCAGTACCTCTTGTGCACAGGTCAGGGAGAGTCGGGGAGGGTTGAGGATGGTGCGTGAGGGTGCAAGGGAGTATTGCGCATCCTCACACACCCGACCTGACCAGTACCATGCTTCTCACACACTGTCCCTTATCCTCCCTGTGCCGCACCATGCCTCTTGAGGACCCTGCACATTCTCCCCACACCCTGACCTGTACCACGCCTCTCAGGCACCTTCTCAGACCTTCCACCATGCACCCCCTTGCTCCCTCCCCCACTCAGCATCAGCCAGCTATCTTCCTGCAGACCTGGGACTTGTAACCTCCTGCTTGCTTCCGCACTGACTTTGGTTGTGGTAAGCCGCCAGGAAATTGCTTCACCTAACGATAAACGATACAGTCACACTTTACGATCACACAACTTAGCGACAGAAATTCTGGTCCTAATTGCCATCGTAAGTCGAGGACTACCTGTTTTTCACGGGTAAAGATAGTATAACTTTTTGAATTCAGGGGAATAAAAGTAGAGCACTTTTTTTTTATGGCATGCAGGCCTGCTTTAGTTATTTTTATATTGTTAAAAAGGCAGAATAATATTTTGCTAAAATACTCCAATTAACAGTGTCAGCAAGAAAGCCTTGAGAGCTTAAAATACCTTTTCTCTTTCTTTCTTTCTTTCTTTCTTTCTTTCTTTCTTTCTTTCTTTCTTTCTTTCTTTCTTTCTTTCTTTCTTTCTGTCTTTCATATCAGCAGGTCTGGTCAGATGCTGGTTCCTGCAAAATAGAAACATGTATACTATGTTTGTATGGATGGATGTGAAAGCTAGAAAATGTTGCAGATGAGAGAAATCATTCTATAAGCATATCATTGAAACCACACAAGATAATCTAATCTCAAACTGCCTAGACTGTTCTTTTATGCTCATTTTAATGTAGGAAAAGATGAATTCATAGCATCAGTGAAGTAAAGATTTTGTTCTGTAAAAGTGATAGTGACTTCAAGATATAGCATGATAATTTAATTCAGATTTAAGCCCCCAAACTGTGAGGCACAGTTGTCAAGAAAAACACTAAAAAGTCATTTTAGATAAATATCTAACCTTGGAAAATTGATGAAAACATAGGAAGAATTTCTGTTTTCAAGTTAACTAAGTCTCCAAATGTATGAGTGATGATTACCTTTTATTGAAAAACTATAGAGGATTCCTGCTCCCCCTAATCCTTTGATATGCCTGCAGGAGACCATTACATGCCCTACTGTGAAATTGACTAAAAGCTTAGCTTTGTTCGGATATTAGGCCTCACATGATTACAGATGCGTGAAGGAGAGAGTGGTCCATGCTTGTTCACTTGTTGCCCCAACCTTTAGCATTATATATGTTGAAGCCACTGTCCCCCATAATTCACATACTAGGCAGCTGGAAGGGCCCACTCCAAACAAAAATCAGAACTCTGTGGGATCAGGTTTCTTAATTCTGCAGGGAACTTCTGCAGAGAGAAAGCGAGAGAGCAAGAGCAAGCAGATTCCTTTTTGGAACTTGCCCTCCAGAGTGAAGTTGGTGGGTGGGCTGTAGAGTTGGCAAAAGACACATCAGCAGGAAAGAGCCAGTGACTATGCTTGTGCACATGTCCTTTGTAACAGCAGAGCAGAGAAAGTCATTCTTACTCACTTAAGCCTAGACACCATTTGGCCAGAGCCATGTAAAGTGAAGGTAGCAATGTCCTTCACTTTTGCCTGGGAGTCTAAAAGAAGTAGATAGGGTACTCTGTAGTAAGAGCTCTGCACCTGTGGATTGGATCCATGCTATACCTGACTGTTCAGGCAGCCAGGCAGAGTGCCTGTGGCTGCATCTGGGAAGTGATTAATGTTTCTCTAAGGAACGGTGGAAGAGCTGATAGTCTGCCCTTTCTTGACTTGTCCATAGTGGACAATTTTCACCCATTCTGTAATCTTCCCTTTCTGGGGAAGGCTATTGAAAAGGGATGGGTGAATCAGTTAGAGGCTGAGACATACACAGGATTCAATATTTTGTCAAAATGTCAGCAGAGATGTGCTGTTGTGATGCAAGCTCCACCTACTTTGTATATGCATGTGACATCATAGTGTGTACAAAAGGAGTAGGCCTTGCATTGTGATGGTGCAACACTATTTAAGGAAAGAACTACCACCACCCCCATTCTGGCAGACGCTTCTGGCTAAAGGTTAGATTATCTAGGCCTGGACATGGGATGGAAACAGTATAGGTTGCTTGTGGTGAATGAATACAGTATTGGAACTTGGATGAGGTGAGTGTGCTCCTCCTGGTCCTGTGAGATTTCTTGGCACTCTTTGATTCCATTTACCAGAGTTTTCTTCTAGACTACCTGCAAAGCTGGGGGTTGGAGGCACCATTTTAGTGTGGTTCCCCTTCTACTTAAGGTGACAGTTCCAGTTTGAATTCACAGGAAGGAGCAGTCAAGCCCATGGTTGCTCCAGTGTGGAATATTACAGGGCTCTGTCCTCTTGCCATACTATTTAACATCTATACAAAGCTGCCAGACCATCAGTTTAGGAGAAATATCACTGTTATGCTGATGATACTCAGCTATATATTGCCACCCCAAGCTGGGCTGGAGATGCCATGGAACTTTTGAGACTGTGTTTTCAGGCTGTGAAGGACTGGATAGGGAGAAACAAGCTCAGACTAAGCCTTAGCAACTCAGAAGGTCCGGTTTCCTAGATTTCCAGAAACCTCAGTTCCAGCAGTTGCTCTAGATGGAATCATGCTCTCCCTGAAGCAGCAGGTCCGTCACTTGGGACTTCCTTGTGTTGTGACTGCTGCTTGAATAACAAGCAGAGGCTGTGACTAGGGCCCCTATCCAGCTTTGGCTGGTGTGCCAGAAGTCCCTATCTAAAACAAAAAGTCTTTCGGTAACTCATACCCTTATCACCGCACTTATGTATTGCAGTATGCTCTACATAAGACTGCCATTGAAGACAACTCAGAGGCTACAACTGGTATCAAGTGCAGTCAGGCTGCTAAATCAGGAGATCTGCTATTGCAAAAGAATGCCTATTTTTCAGTTGCTACATTGGTTGCCTTTTGGCTTTCAGGCCCAATTCGGAGGACTGGTCTTGAAGCCCTCTGTGATAGGGCTTGTCTTACCCAATCAGTTTATTTTGGGATGTGTGTTTTTGGTTAATTATTTTTTAATTGTAATCCCTCAATATTTTGAGTTGTCAGTATAATTTTTTTTAATACAAATGAATAACATTTTTTGTTTGAAAAACCATCAAAATAAACTTTGATATGCTGGATGCTGTGTTTAAACTGTCAGACTGAGGCATTTTACTGTATTAACATAAAGAGAGGTGGGGGGGGAAGAGAGACACTTAAGAGGAAACCTCCACATGAATTAATAATTACTTCAGTGTTTTGGAGATGGCTTTAAGAGCTTCTCCTCTTTTGATCTGTGTGGACAAGCTACTGAAAGGGGGTTGCAGTGAGCACTCAGGCACCTTGTTCATCGTATTGGAGGTGTTAACAGGGGAGAAAGGGGCAAGGAAAGCCGTTAGCCTTCTTTGAATTATAGATGAAGTTTTCCACTGAGGAGAGAGCAAGCTAAATTAAAACATTGCCTCAGAAGAGCAATCAAAACATTACACTGGCAAAAACTGATGGCTAGAAACTATTCTGTATCTTGGCCCTAATTATTTAGACATTGCATTTCTTTGCAGGTTTTTTTTTTTTTTTGAGGGGGCAAAAGGTGTCCGGGGGGGTGATTTTAGTTTCATTCTTGTTGGGGAGGGAAGTAATAAACATTGCCTCGTCCACCAGCTATGGATACCTTTCCTCATAGTGTAGCTACAATTAATTAAAGCGGGAATAGAGCTGTTGCTGTAATCTATGCTCTAGGCGGAACGTGCGCCTTTTATTTGTTTATACATTTATTTCAGCCTTTTTATATGCTGCT